GACCACCCTCGGAGTTTTGCAGGTTCATTGGACAAGAAGATCTGAGCAAGGAAGGCCTTGAAGGTTTTCTGCAACAACATTGGCGCCGTCTGTGGGAACCGAATAAAAAGCTTCATTTCCATGTTGATCCGGTTGATTGGAGGGAGGAGAAAACGAGTGAAGGCCTCATGGCCTAGTCACTTGAGTTGTAGAAGCAGATCTGATGAATTTACACTTGAGTAGCAGAAGTTTACACTTGAGTTGCAGAAGCAAATGTGATGAAAAGGGTCTATTCGCCCATGAAGAAGAGAAGCTTTCACAAAAAGACAAACAAGGGAGTAGCTCTGCACAACTACCGGGGCAGGTTACAATGTCAGCCATGAGTATTCAAGAAGCAAAAAAGTGTCAGCAAAACACAAGCTTAAGGTAACTCAGAGGGGTCCACCAAAAAAAAAAGAAAAAAAGAAAAACTTATCCCTTTCCTTCTAAACTCCTCCGGTTTCAACTATGGTGGTCATGTGCCTCTCTGTTCTTCAACCATAAATGTACTTCTTATCTATTCAGTTGGTGATAATGAAAATGAAGGAAACGGAAATGGGGTTGGAGGGTGTGGTGAAGAAAGGCATGGAGTTGGGGGAGATGGCATTCAACAAAGACGGTGGAGTCATCAACTGGTTCTCCGCTCACATGGCTGCTGCCACCCGCGCCATCCGCTAATGCCTCAAGCTCTCCATCGCCGTCATCAAAGTCTGAGATTCCCGAAATACCATTATCCTCTGCTCATAAAGAACTACAGCCTCAGCTCTCAGCCGAAAGCTTGCCAGTGTGAAAATCCCTTTAATCAGCTGCTAGGGAACAAAAGTCTATGGTTCCAATGACAGAAGAAGACTAAGCAACTATGGCCGGGCCGACTATGGTTGGGCTCCGTTACTCAAGCTCGACAATGATGAGCTGCAAGCATCTTGCTTGAGCACGAGCTGTGAAATGCTGAAGCACGAACTGCAAAGGCCGAGAACAAAGTGCAGAACTCAACCACGAGCTGCAGAGCTCAAATGCAGAAATCCGAGGTGCGAGATGCTGAAGCACGAGCTCCAAAGGCCGAGAACGAAGTGCGAGATGCTGAAGCATGAGCTGCCGAGGTCGAGCACGAAGTGCAGGGGTCGAGCACGAAGTGCAGAGCTCAAACACGAGCTGCCGAGCTCAACCACAAGCTGCAGAGGTCAAGCATGAAGCTGCAGAGCTCAAACACGAGCTGCCGAGCTCAACCACAAGCTGCCGAGGTCAAGCATGAAGCTGCAGAGCACAAACATGAGCTGCCGAGGTCGAGCACAAGGTGCAGGGGTCGAGCACGAAGTGCAGGTGAGCTCAACCACAAGCTGCAGAGGTCAAGCATGAAGTTGCAGAGCACAAACATGAGCTGCCGAGGTCGAGCACGAAGTGCAGAGCTCAAACACGAGCTGCCGAGCTCAACCACAAGCTGCAGAGATCAAACACAAGTTGCAGAGCACAAACACAAGCTGCCGAGGTCAAGCACAAAGTGCAGGGGTCGAGCACGAAGTGAAGAGCTCAAACATGAGTTGCTGAGGTCAACCATGAGCTGCAGAACTCAAACACTTGCTGCCGAGGTCAAGCACGAAGTGCAGAACT